GGAGGGGAGGGGAAAAAGCCAGAAGTGGTGCTATGGTTCAAGTGGTAGAGTGCCAGCACTGAGCATAAGAAGCTCAGGGACAGAGAGCTCAGGCCAAATTCAAGCCCCAGGACCGGCAAAAAAAAAAAATGAAGGCCTTCCTAGAAGGCATTAGTAATTTAAGTCTGACAGCTCTACTTTAGTTAACAAGATCTGATGTTGCAATTTTTCTACCTTACTGGAATTCATTACATTTTTCTCAATGTGGTAATTTTTCTACATTAGTGGAAATGATTACATTTCCTCAACACAGTGTGTGTGACACTATGGAAAATATATTACATAACTCTGTACTTTCTTTTAAATAGTCCTTTTCTCATTACTTAAAAAAGTTTTACTTCCCCAAATTAATCTTTTTTTTAATATTTAAATTATGTTAGATCTATCCTGTGGTTCTTAGACATGATTATGAATCAACTAATATCCATGAGAGCTAAATGGGTTTTATAAAGTCTCTACAGAGAGAAGGGATCTCTTTCTTTCCTAGGTATTCACTAGGAAGGAATTCAGACTACATGAAACAATGTGATTAGGAAGTAAATGTGTACTTACATGTTATCTCACCTGCATTGTAATGGACCTCATAAAAATACCCACACAGGCCTAGCACTGGTGACTCATGCCTGTAATCCTACCTTTTTAAGAAGATGAGATCTGAGGATTATAGTTCAAAGCCAGCCAGGGCAGGAAAATCTGTGAAACTCTGATGTTCAATTAACTATCCCAAAAAACCACCAAGGCCTACACAAGCAACTACCACTGAGGTAATTAAGATGAAACAGTAACATAAAAGGAGAAACTTCAGCTCCAGTCTCCACACAACTGCACTATATTCTCCCTCTCTATTTCAAGACCAGGGTCACAGTGTACTTGACTGAATCAGTTTCTTTAAAGAGGAAAGATACAGATACTATTTGACCAAGAATAATCTTAAATCACTAGATTTTCACTATGAGAATCAACAGAAGTATTTAGTATCAAGCTAGAATTATTCTGAGACTGAAATATATCATGCACATAAAACATTTTGGAATAGAGTATATTAATATCAACTCAAAAGCATGTTTTTACTTGGTCAGTTATAGCATCAAGTTCAATAATGCAGCCAGGTCGAGCAGTAGACTGTTGACTCACGATATTAAACACTTCTCCAATAAGTTTCTGCAAATAAAAAAAAAATTTATGAGTCTGTTATCAATTTAATATATCATCGAAGACATTAAAAGTTCCCTAAATATTCCAGGCTGACAATGGCAATACATTCAAAAGAAATAGTTTACTGGGTGCTGGTGGCTCACATCTATAATCCTAACTATTCAGGAGGCTGAGATCTGAGGATTGCAATTCAAAGCCATCCTGGGCAGGAAAGTCCATGAGACTCCTGTCTCCAGTTAACCACCAGAAAATCGTAAGTGGAGTTGTAGCTCAAAGTGGTTGAGTGCTAGACTTGAGCAAAAGAGCTCAGTGACAGCACTCAGCCCTGAGTTTAAGCCTCATGACTAAAAACAACAACAAAAAAAGCTCAACTTTCATTCTTAAAGTTAATTAAGACATTAGAAAAATTGACTATGTTTACATAAATACTGCAGTTTCAAAACATCTAATTGTTTGAACATTTCATTTTTACAGGTTAAAGCCCAGGATAGACAAGGCTGAGGATCTAGCCCACCAGGTCCAATGCCTAAGTACGTGATGTGCAGCTGTGCAGTGTGCCAAGGGGAAAGTACAACTGAGCCAGTCTGAATGCAGTGGTCATTCTAAGAGGTGGAATTCTCTTGTTTAAACTCATACATGAAGCCAAACTTTGGATTCCTTAAGTCCCCAGAAGTTTCTGCTAAAAAAGAAGAGCAGTCCTCCCTCTGCCACCTTCCCAACAGCTCTTATATAAAAACTTTTCCATGAGTTCTCCTAAAGTAAATTGCTCAAAGATTTCCCCTCAGCATGAGGCTCTACTATTTATTAATACCTCCAGGACATAACAGGGCTTAACTCCCAGTTAGCCTTAGGTCAGCTCTCAGAGGAAATAGCAGGTACATAGGAATTGCAGAATTTCTCCAACTTGTACATGCAGTATGCCAGAGACTACTATGGGAGCAGATTCTTAAGTTAATAGAGATCAGGAAAGGAAATGGCTGGGTAAGGCTAAATCTATGACTATATTTCATTTGCCCAAAATTCAGGATTTAAATTGCTGACAGTCTGCTGAGCTCATTCACTGAAATCTGGATTCAACCACGGCCTATAGTTTGTGAAGCTAAAATGTTAAGATTTCCATAACATACAGCAAAGCACTTATCAATAGATACTTAATACACAAATCCTAGCTATAATATGCAATATATCGCCTGGCCTGACCACAATTCTGCCAAAAATGGAACAGTCCAATAGCAACAGGAAGCTTTCTAAAAATATACTAAGGCCTTGAAGTAATACACCCATAATTCAACATGATCTCCACATTCATGTGTATATGAAATTTTAAGTATTGCTATAGACCACTGATTCTCAATTTCAACTGCACACTGATCCACTCAGACAGATTAAATTCATGCTTGGGTCACACTTAAATTGCTTTACTAGTCTAGGGTACAATTAGATCACAAGAAATGTATAAAGTTTCTCAGGTGTTTCCGATATGAAGACAAGACTAAGATACACTCATAGGAATCAATACAAATTCCAGCTACATCTGTAATATGATTACCTGGCCTGCCCACAACTCTCAACTCTGGGCTAGCATCATATATATAATTAGTGGCTTTACCAAGCACTTTGGCTAATACCACAATTAGGGTGAAGTGCATGGAATATTCATTTTGGGCACAAAATTTCAGGGACACACACATATACACACACCAAAAAAAAGGTAAATAATAGGTTAGAGCAGTATTTTTTAGAAACTCAAAATTATGAAAAAAATCTAAATTGAAAAAATATTAAAAATGTAAATACAGGTTAGTGTTTTGCTAGACCTAGAGTTTGAGCTCAGGCTTCAAGGTCACTAGGCAGGGATCAGACTCTTGAAGCAGGCCTTCAGCCCTTTTGACTTTCATTTATTTTTCAGGTAGGGTCATATGCTACATTCTAGGACTGTGCCACCACTCCTGGTTTATATTTTTGAGGCAGGGACTCAACTAACTTCGTCCAGAGTGGTCTTAACGTCCTATGTCCCCTTCCTAAGTAGCTGAGATTATAGCTGTGAGCTACCATGGTCAGCTGTTAATTTCTTATATCTCCACTTTAAGTGTGGAAGTGGGGGGGGAGGGGGGCAAGGAGGGTAGGAGGGATGGGGGGGAGATGGGAAGGGATGGTAATGGGAAACAAAGGAGGCAACAAGGATTGATAAGAAATGCACTCATTGGGGCTGGGAAAGTGGCTCAGTGGTAGAGCACTTGCCTTGCATGCCTGAGGCCCTGGGTTCGATTCCTCAGCACCACATAAGCAAAAAGAAAAAAGCCGGAAGTGGCGCTGTGGCACAAGTGGTAGAGCGTTAGCCTTGAGCTGAAAAGCTGAGGGACAGCGCCCAGGCCCAGAATTCAGGCCCCACGACCGAACCCCCCCCAAAAAAAAGAAATGCACTCATTACCTTGCTCATGTAATTGTAACCCCTCTATATGGTATTCTCACAATTTAAACAAAAAAAAAGTGTAGAAGTATTCTATTGTGGTAGTCAGGATAATGTGCCTAAAGATTTGACCTGCCAAAATGTTCCCTTAGCTCCAATCTAAGAGTTCTATATATGTCAATGAATTCAGAATCTTGAGGTGAGGATATAATTCCAGATTATTCCAGTGGACCCAATATAATCATAAAGTTGCTTATGTGGAAACAGTGGAGTCAAATTCAAAGAAAGAGATGTGACAGTAAACACAGAGGCAAGAGAGAAACTTGAAAATACTTTGTTCCTACTATTAACAAAGGAGAGAGGCTAGGAGGCAAGAAACACAGATGGCCTCCAGAAACAGGCAAAGGAAAAGGATTCTCTCAGGAGCCTCCAGAGGAACAAAACCCTACCAACACTTTGATCTTAGATAATAAATAATAACTTATTATAACAAATAATAAAATTTTAAGGTAACAAACTTGTGTGAATCACCAAGTCTAGTAATTTGTTACACCAACAGTAGCAAAGAGACACAGGAGCAGGGGCTAGCCTCAGTCTGTGATCCTCTTACATATAATGAAAATTCAAATATTTGCAATGTCTACTATGAAAACAAGCTGGCTTTTACTTAACAGCTACTAAAATCCTATTTTAAGGACTAGGAAAGCATGTGACAACTTGCTACACTGACACAATTAGGAGGGAAGTAACTAGGAGAAGTGCTGCTCTAACTTATAAAAACACAAAAAGGATGAGCAGCAATAATGAAAAGTTGACAGAACATAGTCATGTCATCTTTAATAAGATTGAGGATACCACACTCTGTACACTGTGTTTTAGAATGGCAAAATCCCCAGCATAAAGGCAAAATCCCTTATAGCATAGGGCTCTGTTTCAGAATTCCTTCTGCATTGGACTCCTAACTATGCAACAAATGTAACTGAGACAAAAAGATGACTAGTGTGGCGAGTCCAATTAGTGTTCCTCCAGAATCCATCCAGAATCCCAGAATCTAACTCTATTTGAAAAAAGAGCTTCTGCAGATAAAATTAATGATAAAATCATAGTAGATTACAATGAATGCTAAATTAAATAACAGTTGTCCTAATAAGGAGACGAGAGAGTTGAGCACAGACCTGCATGCCTATAATCCAGGCACTCAGGAAGCTGAGATGGAGAATGAGGACAGTCTGGACTACATATTGATTTCAGACTAGAAATGCTGTCAAGATGGCTTGACGTCTCGATTTCAGGCAACATGTATGTTTTTTTGTAAAATACATGAGGAAAAAACTTTTAGAACTGAGGAAAAAATAAGACATCTACACCCCTCTTGATATCTGACAGAACAATTCAACAGAAAAACCAGTTAAGATATCTAAGAGGTCAACAACACAGGATGAACTGATAGGGTCTATCTGACATGTACAGAGTGCTCTAGCCAAGAACAGCATAATTCATGTCAAGCATGTCAAGCACTTATGGAACACACCCTAAAACAAACTGTGTCTTGAGTAATAATACAAGCCTCAATGAAGTTTAAGGGACTGAGAGGTCACATACTGTGCTCTCCTACCACAATGGATTCTAATTCGGCATCAATGACAAGAGAGTTTCTAAACACTTGGAAACTAAGTAACACTGACTAATTCTTACCTAGTCATCAAGAACAAAACAAAATGTCTTTATTTATAAATATAGTAGTTGGGGCAGGCATTGATTAATATTCCTGCTCTAATCTGATCTGTCACTTCTCTAAATTAGGAAACACATTGAGGGCCATACTTTGGCAATTATTACATAACACCTCTAGATATTTCTTCTATCTTAAATGATTAGTTAACATTGAATTACAATTTTCTCTTTTCAGCTAAATTTAAAGCTTCTTAAAGGCAGACACTAAAACTTACAGAAGAGGTACATAGATATACCAGAACATTATTAGGTGTCCAATATTGGAAACATCTTCATTAAAATACTTGTTTTATAAAGAGATGTATTTTCTTGGGTAAATGAAAAATTCAGTTCAAATCTACATATTAACTACTGAGTGTTTCAGTTCAGCAACAAGAATAAGGTACTACTACTACTACTGATAATATATTCTAACTACAGGAAATGTTTTTTCTGGGGCTGAACCCAGGGTCTTCCACTTACTAAGCAGATGTTCTACCACTTTAATACCACCAGCAGCACTTAATGTTTTGAATAGTCTTGCATTTATGCCTAAGCAGGACTGGACCATGAACTACCCCTTTACACTTCCTGTGTAGCTGAGATGATAGCCATATTTAGCTTTTATTGGTGAAGATGAAATCTCATGAACTTTTTGCTCAGGTTGGCCTTGAACTATGATTTTCATGATCTCTGCTTCCCAAGTACCTAGAATTATAAGCATGAGCTGCATGTCTGGCCTAACCACAGGATTTATTTTCCCAAGGTAAGTCAAGATTGGAGAAGTTCAAATTTTCCAGTAAAAATACACAGTTTAGTAAAGATGCCTTAGAAGCAGAAGGAATCAGGAGTTTCAAAAATGCCAAGAATAAATAATAGTTTAGAGAAAAAACATCACACTTGTTCCTTCATTTGTACATGTATTACTATATAGTGTGTGCACTAGAAAGTTAATTTAGCTATCTTGAAATATGCATTTTAAAAAAATGCTGGGCACTGGTGGCTCACACTACTCAGGAGATCTGAGAATCATGGTTCAAAGCCAGCCTGGGCAGGAAATTCCATGGAGACTCTTAAATACAATTAACCACCCACAAAGAGCTGGAATAGAGTTGTGGCTCAAATTGTAGAATGCTAGCCTTGAGCACAAAAGCTAAGAAACAACACCCAGGCCCTGAGTTACAGCCACAGAAACAGTACAAAAGAATTGGCAAGTTTGTCATCTTCAGCCAAGAACATATTGTCACTCTTAACATTCCCTGAACACCACTAACAAAAGCCCCAAAGTAAAATGGGAAGTCCTTATCAGTATAGATATACTAATAAAGAAAAAAAAGTACTTACAGAAGCTTCTGGATCTGACAGTTCATCTAATAATTTTCTTGCATCTACTACAGCTTGATAAAGTCTCAGATTTTTGCCATCAGATGCAACAAAGCAAGCACTTGCTGAATTGCAGTATGTGCCTGATGAAGGAAAAGAAAGATTCTGGTTATAATCGATAGCTTGTTTTATACTAGCTGAAATATAAGAAACCAATATTGGGCTGGGAAGGTGGCTCAGTAGTAGAGAGCTTGCCTTGCATGCATGAGGCCATGGGTTCGATTCCTCAGCACCACATAAGCAAAAAGAAAAAAGCCGGAAGTGGTGCTGTGGCTCAAGTGGTAGAGCACTAGCCTTGAGGTGACGAGGTGAGGGACAGCGCCCAGGCCCATAGTTCAGGCCCCATGACTGGCCAAAAAGAAAAAAAAAATCCCCAAAAATGTAAATTCTAAGTCTGACATTAACATTTGAACACTCAGTAATAAAGGCAAATATAAATCATGCTGTATATAAGAAATAATAGTTTCAATGCTTAATTTTGCAACTAAAAAATAAACACTTACCAAGGCAATAACTGGGAATAAGCGTTGGAAGCCACGCCACATTAGAGAAAGCTGAGGTATGTAAAGAGTTAATTCTAGCCAATTCCGACACTCCTCCAGTGTACGACAAAGGTCCTATTGGGTCTACACGCCACAGAATAAGTTCACTGTAGATGGCATTTGGGTCATGAAACGTTCGGGTTGCGGCATTTCTAATAGGTTGTTTAGACAAAGCTTTTGTATGTTTCACAGGATCTATTATTCTATTTAAATTACTATCTGAGTCCCACTGACAATCTGATTCAGGAGTCAACAAAGCATTATGATGGGAGGATGTCAGTAACAGTGGTAAAACTGAATGACATGCCAAGTCATTGAGATGAAATCGATGGCCACAGTATCGAAACTTGTGGGATACAGTTAGAACTGTGGTGAAGGCAGACTTATCTGCAAAAGTGACTGCCCACTGATTTAAAGATCCATCTATGTGCTTAGAGACCATCATGACTGTTGGAGCTAAAATGTTCATATTTGTACTGTGTGATCTAGAGTGCAGCTGTGGTCCATGAGGACTGTCTTCAGGCATCATTTCCTGGTGTGATGGAGTGTGGTGAGAATCTTTCATAGCATTTATACAGGCGTACATCATGATGTTTTTACTAAGAGAGCTGGCATCACCAGAGGGAAACGCAACAGGAATCCGAGAAGAAAAAGAAACCTAAAAAATACAAATATATGACTCCGTGTAAGAGGTTTGCTTTCTTCTCAAAAATAATCTTCAAAAACATTTCTATTTTCAAAATGCCAAATCTCAGCTTCCTAGCAACCTCTATATGGTCTAATCCCTTTCTTAAACTAATGAAACATTGTATCACTAATCATTTCCTAAGAGAAGATAGAAGAAAGTTTCAAATGTACTGCTTCCATATCAAAAAGAACATAATCATGGCTGTAAATTTCAATAAAGCCTTAACTTAGCAAATAAAACAAGATAAAGGGAGTCTCTTTTTTTTTGGGGGGGGGGTCCCACCGTGGGGCCTGAGCTCTGGGCCTGGGCGCTGTCCCTCAGCTCTTCAGCTCAAGGCTAGCGCTCTACCACTTAAGCCACAGCGCCACTTCTGGCTTTTTTCTTTTTGCTTATGTGGTGCTGAGGAATCGAACCCAGGGCCTCAGGCATGCAAGGCAAGCGCTCTACCACTGAGCCACCTTCCCAGCCCCAGGCGTCTCATTTTTTCATTTTTAGTTTTCAGAGTAGTTTCTTATCTTTATTTAAACAGCTAGCAATTGTCAGAAAAATCAATATATATACACTCAAAAATTCAGCCAAGCTGGGCACTGGTGACTCAGGCCTGTAATCCTAGCTACTCAGGAGGCTGTGATCTGAGGATCTCGGTTCAAAGCCAGCCCGGGCAAGAAAATCCATGAAACTCATCTCCAATAAACCACCAGAAAACTGGAAATGGCCCTGTGGCTCAAGTGGTAGAGCCCTAGCCTTGAGCTGAAGAGCTGAGGGACAAAACTCAGACCCAGAGTTCAAGCCCCACGACCAAAAAAAAAAACAAAAACAAAAAATCCAGCCAAAAAGCAAAAGCCAAAATTCATTTCTTTGAACTAACTAAATTTGCAAATATATAGCCACTGGTCATCTTTAAAAGCAAAAGTATTCTTTGTCAGTGACTTCTCAAAAACAATTTTTTGAAATTCTGAACACAATTTTTTTTTTTGTTTTTTGTTTTTATTTAGTCAGTCATGGGGCCTGAACTCTGGGCCTGAGTGCTGGCCCTCAGCTATTGAGCTCAAGGCGAGCACTCTACCACTTGAGCTACAGCACCACTTCCAGTTTTCTGGTGGTTTATTGGAGATAGGATCTCATGGACTCTCCTGTCCGGGCTGGATTTGAACCGAGATCCTTAGTATCTCAGCCTCCTGAGTAGCTAGGATTACAGGTGTGAGCCATCGGCATCCAGCTCTGAAAATCTTTAAAGTCTACAAAGCCATCTATTTATTTTGTAAAGAAATTGTCGGGCGCTGGTGGCTCACGCCTGTAATCCTAGCTACTCAGGAGGCTGAGATCTGAGGATCGAGGTTCAAAACCAGCCCGGGCAGGAGAGACCGTGAGACTCCTATCTCCAATAAACCACCAGAAAACCGGAAGTGGCACTGTAGCTCAAGTGGTAGAGTGCTCGCTTTGAGCTGAAGAGCTGAGGGACAGCGCCCAGGCCCAGAGTTCAAGCCCCACGACTGACAAAAAAAAAAGAAATATAGTAATTGTTCAATCAAGAAACCATACCTGGACTTGTCTGAATATTCCAGGATTATATTCATCCAAATACTTTACATGCCACACTAGAAATGTACCATCCACAGGGTGAATTGTAAAAAGCATGTCAGGATTCTTATTCCATTCTGATAGCAGCATTTCAATCTTCCGGTCAAGAAGGACTGTAGGCAGTGGCATTGGGATGCTAGGTTGTGAATAGGTTCTAGGACTTCCTTCTCTTTCTCCATCTTCGTGTTCTGATGATCCTGTACCTGCCTCAGATTCTCTATCCAGGGATAATTCTGAATCAGAAAACATGTTTATCAGAATATACATAATACTATAAAATTCCTTTACCAACTATAAATCCCTTTTCCAATTTATAGAAACTATTTTCTTGTCTAAATTGAACATTATTTAGGAAGCTCAAGTGGGGTCCAGTGGTAGAGCTGGCCTTGAGTGAAAAATCCGAAGGACATCTTGTAACCCTGAGTCCAAGTCTCAGTACCAGTACCAGTCCCCCCCCCCAAAAAAAGACTATTACTTTTAGATAAGCCAAGACTTCACTTACATTTTTATTACAATTAGAAAAATCTACATTCTAAAAAAATGATACAGCCTCCAAAATTGCCCTCAAAACAAAATGTGTTACAACAAAACATAGAGTGGGGTAGGGAATGTGGCTTAGTGGTAGAGTGCTTGCCTAGCATGCACGAAGCCCTGGGTTCAGTACCATATACGCAGAAAAAGCCAGAAGTGGTGCTGTGGCTCAAGTGGGAGAGTGCTAGCCTTGAGCAAAAGAAGCTCAGGGACAGTGCCTAGGCCCTGAGTTCAAGCCCCAGACTGGCATCAAGAACAAATACAATAACAACAACAAAAAAAAAAACATTGAGTGACCAGTGGCTCATGCCTATAATCCTAGGTACTCAGGAGACTAAGAGCTGAGGATCTTGGTTCAAAGCCAGCCCAGGCAGAAAAGTTCATGAGATTCTTATCTCCTATTAGCCACCAGAAAACTATAAGTGGCACTGTGCTACCCCTGAGTGAAAAAGCTCAGGACAGTGCCGAGGCACTGGCAGTGTTTGCCAGTCATGGAAGCACACATCTATAATCCCAACTATTAAGGAGGTTGAGGTAGGAAGGCTCCAAGTTTGAGGCCAGACTGGGCAATTTAGCAAGACTGTGTCTCAAAGTAAAATGGAAAGAGTAGGGCTGCACCTCAATGATGTAGCATTTGTCTAGCATGCATGAAGCCCTAGGTATGATATAGCACCACAAGAAAAAGAACAAAACAAACATGATACACAGTGAGATGGCATTTTGAGAGCCTGTTCTATGGTAGATGATCAGTAATTATGAAGAGAATATAAAAGTAAAGAGAGAGAGAGAGAAAGAACAAGAATTTCAAACTGTAAGAAGTTGGTATTTTTAGAGAAAAATCGAATACTGCATACTAACCATGGTCCAGTTTCATACGTAAACCCCTCTCTCTTTCCTCTTGTGAACGCTCCTCGTCTTCTCTATCTGCATCATTACTTTCATGATCTAACTGTTTCTCCGAAAGCTTTCTTAATTGATACATAAATATTTCAGTCGATGATGTAAAATGGAATTCCTTATTGTTTAGCCAATGAACTACAAATCCCCCATTTCCATCTTCAATGTTAAATGCAGTGCCAACCAGGGCATTTGGAATATCTGTGGGAACAAAATAGGTGAAATTCTGATAGAGATTCTAATTTCTTTAAAAATATGGCAAGTATTTATAATTATTATAACAGTCATTATATGTAATGATTATTATAATGTATAATTGTCTACTTCTACAAAATAGTAATCAGGGGCTGGGAAGGTGGCTCAATGGTAGAGCGCTTGCCTTGCATGCATGAGGCCGTGGGTTCGATTCCTCACCACCACATAAGCAAAAAAAGAAAAACTGGAAGTGGCACTGGGGCTCAAGTGGTAGAGCGCTAGCCTTGAGCTGAAGAGCTGAGGGACAGCGTCCAGGCCCAGAGTTCAGGCCCCACGACAAAATAGTGATCCTAGCCAGGCGCCAGTAGCTCACACCTGTAAATTCTAGTTACTCAGGAAGCTGAGATCTGAGGGTCATGGTTCAAAGCCAGCCTGTGCAGAAAAGTCCATGAGACTCTTATCTCCAATAAACCACTCAGAAAACCAGAAGTGGAGCAGTGGCTCAAGTGGTAGAGTGCTAGCCTTGAGCTGAAGAGCTGAGGGACAGAGTTCAGGCCCAGAGTTCAAGCCCCACAACCAACCCCCCCCCCAAAAAAGTGATCCTATCAGTGATAAAGAAGACTTAATGTTGCTTCCAGCCTTAACTGAATATAATAGTAAGCATAAATATTAAGAATGGCATAGTAAATTACAGTATTAATTGCAAAACCAAATATATCAATGTATAAACCTTGACTAAATCCTGCTTTAGAGAAGGGAAATGGAAAGATAAAGCAGAAATGTCATTATTTAAAAAAAGATTAAGGGCTGGCAAGGTAGCTCAATGGTAGAGTGCTTGCACTGCATGCATGAGGCCCTGGATTCGAATCCTCAGCACCACATAAGCAGAAAAAGCCAGAAGTGGTGCTGGGGCTCAAGTGGTCAAAGCTAGCCTTGAACAAAAAGCAGCTCAAGGACAGCGCCCAGGCCCAGAGTTCAAGTCCCACAACTGACAAAAAAAAAAATACTGAACCCATATATTACAATATACAAATAGTCTAGATTGCAAAACATTTGGGGAGGGGGCTCTTAGCACTTGGACTTGAACCTGGGCCTTGTGATCTCACTGAGCTTTTTCTGTTCACACCTTGCAATTGAGCCATATTTCTATTTCCAGATTTTTCTCTGCTTAATTGAAGAGTCTCATGAAATTGTCTGCCCAGACTGGCTCTGAACCTCAATTCTCAGATCTCTGCCTCCTGAGTAGCTAGGATTACAGGCATGGGCCACCAATGCCCAGTTAGTTTGCAAAACATTCTAAAAAAAACTGGGGCTGGGAAGGTGGCTCAGTAGTAGAGCACTTGCCTTGCATGCCTGAGGCCCTGGGTTCGATTCCTCAGCACCACATAAGCAAAAAGAAAAAAGCCGGGCTGGGAAGGTGGCTCAGTGGTAGAGTGCTTGCCTTGCATGCATGAGGCCCTGGGTTCGATTCCTCAGCACCACATAAGCAGAAAAAGCTGGAAGTGGTGCTGTGGCTCAAGTGGTAGAGCACCTTGAGCTGAAGAGCTGAGGGACAGTGCCCAGGCTCAGAGTTCCAGCCCCAGGACCAACCAAAAAAAGAAAAAAGCCAGAAGTGGTGCTATGGCTCAAATGGTAGAGTGCTAGCCTTGAGCTGAAGAGCTGAGGGACAGCACCCAGGCCCAGAGTTCAGGCCCCACTACCAGACCCCCCCCCAAAAAAAAAAACAAGATCCAGATACTTTTTTTGACAACTGTGGGGATGGATGACTGTTCTAGATTAGAGAAGTAAAGAAAAATAACAATAAAATGTCATTTATTTTTAAAAATCTGAATCTAAATACAAATTATGTTTTATATGACCTTATCCATGTTCCTAGCCGTATTAACAGTATTGTGGTTATGGAGACCAATTCCCTTTTCACTATGAAATATATTCTGAAGTATTTGGGTAATACTGAACAAGTAAAGCATAATACCTAACAATATGATCAGCCAAAAAACACAGGAAGAGGGAGTAAAGACATATATATTCACACAGAGGGAGGAGAACAAAAGAAGCAAAACAATGACAAGATACGAACACATGGTAAATTAGCACAAATTGTACTATTATTTGGGGAATATTGTAGGTTCAAATTTTTCCTCAAAGCTGGGGCGCCAGTGGCTCATGCCTGTAATCAATCCTAGCTACTCAGGAGGCTGAGATCTGAGGATCATGGTTCAAAGCCAGCCCAGGCAGGAAACTCCCTGAGACTCTTATCTCCAATAAAGCACTAGAAAACCAGAAGTGGCGCTGTGGCTCAAGCAGTAGAGCACTTGTCTTGAGCTGAAGAGCACAGGAACAGTGCCCAAGCCCCACAAACGACAAAAAAAAAAAAATTTCCCCCAAAAATGGAAAAGTCCTAAGCATACAAAATTAAGTTCACTGAGCAATCAATTTAGTCAAACTAAAAGTTCTGTTTACAATGCAGTGCCTATAAATGTATGTTAAATATTTTTAACAATTTGTATGTGTGTGCAGTGTGCACATGCGCCATTCTTGGGGCTTGAACTCAGGACCTGGGACCGCCCCAGAACTTTTGTGGTCAAGGCTAGTGCTCTACCAGTTGAGCCACAGCTCCACTTCTGACTTCTTGTTTGTTAGTTGAAGATAAGAGTCTCAATAGTCTTGCCTGACTGCTGGCTTCAAACAACAATCCTCAGATATCAGTTTCCTGAGTGGATAGGATTACAGGTATGAGCCACTGACACATAACAACAAAATTATTTTCTAAATAGCATGTAGGTATGGCAGAATGATATGAATACAATTGGTCAAAAAGTGGAGACCCTGGGCTGGAAAGGTGGCTCAGTGGTAGAGTGCTTGCCTTGCATGCATGAGGCCATGAGTTCGATTTCTCAGCACCACATAAGCAGAAAAAGCCAGAAGTGGTCCTGTGGCTCAGGTGGTAGAGTGCTAGACTTGAGCTGAAAAGCTGAGGGACAGCACTTAGGCCCAGCATTCAGGCCTCATGACCAGCAAAAAAAAAAGTGGAAACCCTCTTTTCACTGAACCAACAGACCACTGCTTCAATAAAGTAACTATTATAAGCATATCATACCAACAATATCATATGAAATTCACAGCCTTTCTCCTATATTTTCACCAAAAAAAAAATAATAATGTCCTTAAAAAGAAGCCCCCAGATATGCTTTTGCCAACATAAAATCTGCCTCTTACTACTTTTCAGCCACATGGGAAGATAAGGTAAAAGAAATATCAAAGTTACACAAAAAAAAATCTTTCCTTTCGCATAGGCCAGTGATGTCTACAGGAGTAGAAAACAATTAATGCTTGTAAAAGTTTATTTAGATAATGTTGCAAAGAAGTGCTGTGAGGGAGAAAAATTTACCAATTATAACCATTTGTGTCCACATATTCATCTAAAGGTCTTACTGATTTGGAACCCTTGCTATATGTATTTTAGACAAAGATGCCCAAAAATACCCATGGAAAGTCAGGTGCTGGTGGCTCACACCTATAATCCTAGCTACTCAGGAGGCTCAGATCTGAGGATAGTAGTTCAAAGCCAGCCCGGGCAGGGAAGTCCGTAAGACTCTTATCCCCAATTAACCACCAGAAAACTGGAAGTGACACTGTGGCTCAAGTGGTAGAACACTTGCCTTGAGCTGAAGAGCTCAGGGACAGTGCCCAGGCCCAGAGTTCAAGCCTCACGACCGGCAAAAAAAAAAAAAAAAAAAAAAACACCTACAGGAAATAAAATATGCCCTGTGAATCTCAGTCTTAATATAAGAAATGGTACCTTATATTCCTATTCCAATTAAGAAGTATTTTAAAAATCAATACAAAATTTTTAAGAGGTTATAAAAGTAACTACCTTTCAATTTATTTACCTTATTCCTACATATTAATAAGAAAGAAGCCCTTACAAGCCTTTACCTGTGGCAGGGTGAATGCTGGCGGCGATGTGAAAGTGACACAGTGCGTTGGCGTGGTGGGAAATATGTCTTTGAACTTCATGTGTTGCCATCTGGTCGTGCACTGATTCGGTATGAGTCACAAGAACTGAAGACCTCCTTTGTCCTTTCCTTAGATTTTTCAAATGGTGTATTGTCTGAAATAAAATTTAAAAACCAACTGCTGAACTCAACTCCGGAAGACCTAATAAATGTCTAAAAGAACCCAAAACCTGCTGGGGATTACCTCATACATACTAGGCAAAGCACTCCACAGAGCTGAACCTCCAGCCTCCCTATGAAGATACAAAGACCTCTAAAAGCCCTTTATCACCAGAGGCTTAGATGTAATTTAAAGACAGAAAATGGCTCAAGCAGTAGAGCGCTCGCCTTGAGCTGAAGAGCACAGGGACAGAGCCCAAGCCCAGAGTTCAAGCCCTACCACCAACCAAAAAAAAAGAAAAAACTATAAATAAGCAAATAGTTAATATTTCAGTACTTTGTTCCACTAAATTTTACAATTTCAGGTATTCCCTTAAATATTCTGTCGAATCACAGACAATACCAGAGCTTGAGTACTTTGGTTGGTTTTATTTGACAGGGGGTTGGAGATGTGAACTTGGGGCTTTGCATTTGCTAGAGTAGTGCTCTCCAATTTGAATCATAACTCTAATTTGCATATTTTATGTAAAAAACTTTAAAGGTGGTTTATTCTTTAATTATTTTGTTATTAAGTAGTTATACAAAGGGGTTACAATTCCATAAGTCAGATTAAGAGTTAATGCTTGTTGGTCAATGTTACCCTTTTCTTCATCTCTCCCATTTTCCCCTCCCATTCCTACTCTCAAGTTCGTATACTATCAAACTCATAAAATATTTCTACTTGGGAAAACAGAAAAGTCACTTCAACTATGTAACCATTAAACTAATAATGTAAATAGACAAGCATAATAATTAATGTAGAACAGATGTTTATAAAGTATTAAATACAGAAAACAAATTATAAAATACTTCTATATAATCTGACCGCAATTTTGTAAAGAAAAAGATACATACATGATTATAATAGCCGCATTATAAATTCCTTCTTTTTTCCATTTTTTTCCATAAGAACATCTTCCTTAGCCAGGTGTCATTGGCTTATTCCTGTAATCCTAGCTACTCAGGAGGCTGAGATCTGAGGATCTCGTAGTTCAAAGCTACCCCAGGCAGGAAAGTGAGACTCTTATATCCAATAGAAAAAGCTGGAGGTGGTGCTGTGGCTCAAGTGATAGCCTTGAGCACAGAGAGGTTCTGGGACAGCACCCAAACCCTGAGTTCAAGCCCCAGGATCAGAGAAAAAAGAAAATAACATGTTTCTTGTGCAATAAAAACAATCACAAGAAAATACTAACCTCTATTTGTAGCAAAAAAAAAAAAGTGGTAATTTCTTTGTGTGTGTATATGTGTGCCAGTAATAAGACCTGAATTCAGAGCTTTGTACTGTTTTGGGGTTTTTTGTTTTTTGTTTTGAAAACCCTGGGGCTTGAACTCAGGGTCTGGGCACTGTCCTTGAGCTTCTTTTCGCTCAAGGATAGCACTCTACCACTTGAGCCACATAGCCACTTCCAGCCTTTTCTGTTAATGTGGTACTGAGGAATTGAACCCAGGACTTTATGCATACTAAGCAGCACTCTACCACTAAGCCACATTCCCAGCCCATAGGGGCCTTGTACTCTTAACTTTTTCATTTAAGGCTGGTGCTCAACCACTGAAACCACATCTCCACTTCTGCTTTTAGCTGGCTAACTGGAAATAAAAGACTCTCAGATTTGTCTGGCTTAAAATCTTGAGCCTCAGATCTCAGCCTCACAAGTAGACAGGATTATAGGCATGAGGCATTAGTACCCAGCAAATTTCTGGTAATCTTGCATAATAGGTGTACCATTTTATTTCCTAATCAGATTAGACAGTTTTGTACTATATTCTATAAATAACCTAATTTCTTTTTCGTTTTTTCTTTTTTTTTGTTGGTTGTATGGCTTGGTCTCTGGGCCTGGGCACGGTCCCTCAGCTTTTCAGCTCAAGACTCTACCACTTCTGGGCTTCTGGTGGTTTACTGGAGATAAGAATCTCACAGACTTTCCTACCTGGGCTGGTTCTGAACTGCGATTCTCAGATCTCAGCCTCCTGAGTAGCTAGGATTATAGGTGTGAGCCACTGGCGCCTGACAAATAACCTAATTTCTTTAAAGTGCTTTTGTACATATTTTAAAAAGTAGAAAAAATATTTCACTTTCAAAATATTCAATCACAGAAACTGTAAAACAGTGAATTCATTTATACTAATATCTTATTAAACAATATATTTCTAGGAACCAAATAGTCCTTTTTAACTAGAATAATAAAAGTACAATTTTTCCTCATAAAACAAAAACAACATTTAACTATAAGTTCAAGAACTTTTGCACATTTTAGTAATCACAGCTATTTCTTCCTACAGATCTTGACATTTGATATGCAAAAGAAAAAGCAAAAATGATGTTATTTACCTAGACTACAAATGTAAGATGGTTACTTTTTTTTTGGTTGGTCATGGGGCTTGAACTCTGGGCTTGGGTGCTATCCCTGTGCTCTTCAGCTCAATGCGAGCGCTCTACCACTTAAGCCGCTGTGGCCACTTCTGGTTTTCTAGTGCTTTATTGGAAATAAGAGTCTCAGAGAGTTTCCTGCCTGGGCTGGCTTTGAACCGTGATCCTCAGATCTTAGCCTCCTGAGTAGCTAGGATTACAGGTGTGATCAGCCACCAGCACCACTAGCTTCATACTGGCAAAAATATGAATAACCTTGAAAGAATAAAGTGAGAAGTTATCATTATTAATTTCATCATTGCATGCACTATGTGTTCCATCTGTACTTTAGCTTATGAATTCCCAGCAAAAGAATTCCTTTAGCATCATAAGTAGCACAGTACCTCAAGAGCATGCTGTATTCTATCTTTATGTCTTCCAGAATGAGAAAGGGTGCTGGCAGTGCTGGAGGTAGTAGTCTCACAAATCTGTTCACCCAAAAGACAGTCTTCTGGTAGTAAGGTTTCTGCCCAGAGCCGACACACACCATCATGGCATGAAGTTAGTAACACATTACACACAGAACCCCTAACAACAAAAAAGAAAAAAATATTGTTACCAACATTAATGCCATCAGTGAATTAGAAACTACTAGTATTTATTTGCTTCATGTATAAATATGAGGTTAGTGTAAAAAACATTATAAGAAAAAAAGAAGGTAAAGGGCTCAATACATAGTACCAGTGTGAACATGATAAAGAAAACCAGGAGAGTCTTGACAAAACCCTCTCTAGAAAGTAGCTGGGCGCCAGTGGCTCACACCTGTAAAACTAGCTACTAAGGAGGCTGAGATCTGAGGATCACGGTTCAAAGCCAGCCAGGCAGGAAAGTCCATGAGACTCTTATCTCCAATAAACCACTATGGCTCAAGTGGTAAAGCACTCACCTTGAGCTGAAGAGCTCAGGGACAGTGCCCAGGCCCAGAGTTCAGGCCCCATGACCAAACCCCCCCCCCAAAAAAAAGCCACAGAAAGTAATACCTAACTATATATGTGCTTTAGAAGAGTATACTCTAAAGGAATATTAATGTCTTCTAAATAAAACAAACTCAACAACAAGAGAAATTCTAGTATTATCAATTATAGGATGATCTTAATAAAATAATAATAATATAGTATAATAATGATAATATAATAATATAATTACTCTTATTTTTAAACTATCTAGCTAATGGTAGTAGTTTTATCAACTTGCCTCATCCTTCTTAAAATCCAAATAGAAATGCGTAACTTGGGGCTGGTAAGGTGGCTCAGTGGTAGAGCACTTGCCTTGCATCCAAGAGGCCCTGGGTTCAATTACTCAGCACCACATAAGCAAAAAGAAAAAAGGCGGAAGTGGTGCTGTGGCTCAAATGGTAGAGCGCTAGCCTTGAGCTGAAGAGCTGAGGGACTGTGCCCAGGCCCAGAGTTCAGGCCCCACAACCAGACCCAAAAAAAAGAAATGAGTAACTTTATTATTTCATAATAAAACCTTAAGAAGAATATCATACAAAAGTATAAATCAATGCCCATTAAGTTAAAATAAATACAATAAGCAACTTGTTACAAAAGAAGAAAAACCTGTTTTCCTTTGGGGGGGGACCTTAGCTCTTTATTATTTTTTTATTGTAAAGGTGATGTACAGAGGGGTTATAGTTACATAAGTCAGGTAATGAGTATATTTCTTTTTGAATAGTGTCACCCCCTTCCCTCATTTTTTTCCTCCCAACTCCCCCACCCCCCAAGTTGTATAGAACTGTTTTTCTTATTTAAAAAAATGCTTACATGGACAAGCACCAGTGGCTCATGCCTGATCCTAACTACTCAGGAGATTGAGGTCTAAGGATCACAGTTCAAAGTCAGCCTGGGCAGGAAAGTTTGTGAAACTCTTATCTCCACTATACTACAAAAAAAAACAGGAGTAGAGCTGTGGCTCAAGTGGTAAAGCACTAGCCTTGAGCAAAAGAAGCTCCAAGACAGAGTCTAGACCCTGAGTTCAAGCCCCAGAACTGGCGCGTGCACGCGCGCGCGCACACACACACACACACACACAAAAGGATTAGAGTTGGACTCCAAGTTCGAAAAAATATTTTTCAAAATTTTCAACTGATGCCAATAATTTAAGGATAATGCCTTATATTTGGACTTTAAAATTTTGTAAATTTTTCCATGTTATCTCCGTAATGTATGCTGTTTGCTGTCAAGTATAAACTGTTCCTACATATATTTAAGAGAGGAGACAACACTCCCTTAAGAATTCAGATATATCTGGGTTGAAAATATGTGTGTGGGTCAAATGGTAGAGCATTAGCTGTGAGCAAGTAAATAAGTCAGAGTACTGAGGCACTGAATTCAAGCCCTAGAAACATTAAAAAAAAAAATACAGACAAACAGATAAGCTAATTTCTAGGCAGCAAGTTTTTGAGTGCCTATTGCTTCTTTAAATATGTAGACAAGACAGGAATAATTTGTGTGAGCTGTTTTCTAGTTTATCTATGCTTCTAAATACCTGTCTGTAAGAGACATCATAACACTGATGGAAAACCTAAATAGTGAACCCGCTGTATCCATGGTTCCCTATCTGTAGATTCAACCAACTACAGATCAAAACTACTTATGAGGGGGAAAAAAAAAAAACAGGTAACAGATTTTTGGTCATTATCCCCTAAACAATGCAATGTAAAAACTATTTATATGGCCTTTATATTGCAGTAGGTATTAAAGTAACCTAAAGATGCTTTAAAGTATAAAGATGAGTGGTAAATACCACATCATTTTATATGAAGGCTTTTTATCATTTTATATGAAGACATTTGCAGGCTTTAGTATGTGTGAGAAGTCACAGAAACAATCCCCCACAGATAGTGAGGAATCACTGTAATCAAATTTTTAAAAATACTTTGAAGCCAGGTATGGTGGCATGCCTCAGCTTCTGGGAGGCTGAAGTAGAGGAATCACATGGGTCCCAGAGTTCAAGATCCTGGGTAGGGTGGGGGAGAGGGGAAGAGATGGTAAGGGGAAACAAAGGAGGAGACAACAATGCTTGATAAGAAATGTACTCATTACCTTGCTCTTGTAATTGTAACCCCTCTGTACAGTATTTTCACAATTAAAAAAAAAGATCCTGGGTAGTTTAACAAGTCACCATCGACAAAAAGCAGCATAACTTACATGATAGAAAAATAGGTATTTTTCCAGTAGAATAACCATTTTAAAAATTAAAACAAGTCCTTGAAAATGTTCTGTTAATAGACTTGAGATTAAAATACATATCCTAGCCATTTCAGCCACTTTACCATGTACATTACTGTCAGTTTATTACCATGTTATTTGCCCTGAATGTATACCTTCCTGTTTACTTGCTAACATCTTTCCTGTTGCTCACTGAACCTCTCTCTCCTAGAGAGAGGTTGGGAACTGGTGTCAGATTCACAAAGCTGTGATAACAATAGAAATTCAGTTAAGACAGCCCAACTCAGAATCTATTCTGTTCATATTCAGCATGTCAATACAGTAGAATGATCTTATTGTCATTATTTTTATACACACGTTAAGAATACAAACCAAAGTTATAAGGTACATTTATCTAACCTGGGCATATACTTGCTTGTTTTACGCCATGAAAAACCTGTCACTGCTCGAGGATGTGCCAAGTAAACAAAGGAAAACTGAGTAGAGGCCTGTCTCTTTTTCACTTCATGATGATCCTGAGGTATAATTGACGATTTCCAACCAGTCATAGGATACCACACTTTCAAAAGACAATCATCCTGCAAAATACATAAGTCAATAAAATATGTACACGTACAATTCAAAACTTAAGTGGTATGAAGTTTTAAAAATTAAGATATATCTAAAACATCATTGTACAATCTATACATAGTATAAAATCAAAGCTAAAATTATTTCTAAATAACACTATCCTTGAAAAATAAAATGGGCAATCTGTTCATAATTAGTCTTTCTAATTATGGAGATTGATGAAAAATGTCTCCATTTAAAGACCATATGTCATAGAAGAGCATCTGAAGATTGTGATGTTAGCTTCTTGCCTAAGAAGAGGTAAGAAAGATGCTTTGTATCTTATCAGTCAATGTTATCATTCTTTCCTTTTTCAAGATTTTTGCAGGAATGAAATTTGTCTTAAATATGAACTTTTTCTATAACAGAACATAGTAAATAAGTAAGGCTTTATATGCTGCACAGGACTGCAGCATAAGATACTTTTTCATCATTCTTACAAAACTTTAAAAATGTAAACCATTTTCTTAGCACATGGACTAATAGATTCCTGATCCCTTAGTGGTAAGAAAGCATTTGGGGAACTGTTAAGAATAACTTCCAAGTCAACCTCAAGTATTTATAGATACAAGCTGGGCACAAGTGGCTCACACCTTTAATCCTAGCTACTCAAGAAGCTGAGATCTGAGAGCTGTGGTTCAAAGCCAGCCCAGGCAGAAAAGTCCCTCTGAGACAGACTCTTACCTCCAATAAACAGTTCAAAAAAGCCCAGAAATGCTGTTGTGACTCAAATGGTACAGCACTAGCCTGGAGCAAAAGAGGTTCAGGTACAACACTCAGGTCCTGAGCTCAAGATCCAGGACCAGCAAAACAAAAAAACAAAAACTACTTACATATAGCAATAGGCAGGTTATATTATTTATTTAGTTCTGACAACTGTATTAAAAGCTTAAATGACATGTATTTGGCACTGATGCCTAACTTAGTTGGTTTTGTTTTTTTTTTGTCGGCCATGAGGCTTGAACTCTGGGCCTGGGCACTGTCCCTCAGCTCTTCAGCTCAAGGCAAGAGTTCTACCACTTGAGCTACAGCGCCACTTCCGGTTTTCTGGTGGTTTATTGGAGATAGGAGTCTCACAGTCTTTCCTGCCTGAGCTGGCTTTGAGCCACGATCCTCAGATCTCAGCTCCTGAGTAGCTAGGATTACAGGTGTGAGCCACCAGCGCATTTTAACTGCACAATTAGGTCTTTTGAAGTGCTTATTCTAAAACAACTACCTTAACAATGTACAGCTTGCTTTTCCTAAGTACTCTCTTAGCATCACTTTCATGTAACCAAATTCACAGTACCATCTATGGCAGTGGTTGGAGAGCAAGTACCTCTAAACCTTACAATATCTCAGTCTGTCAGAAGTCACAAAGCAAAGGTAAAGAGCCACACACACAGTACTCTTCTTCCGTCTCCCATCCTATTAGTTTCCTCTAGGTAAATCATCCCACTTCCCTGTTACTGTCTGAACCACAAAACCATCCCAGAATGAAATTATCAAAAACAAAAGTATCTAGAAAGTTCCAAATTATGTGGAAGCTACACAAAGTACTCCTAATTTGCAAAGGATTTTTTTTCTTTTCTTTTTTTTTGCCAGTTGTG